TTAAAAATGCACAGTAAATTTCTGAAAAATTACAGAATTATATTTTAAATTTAAAAACAATTTTCAGATTGGATATGCATAGTTAGTTGAAGCTTTCATTTAATGCGACAGCACCAGCTTGAGACTTGTCATAAAGTTACTAAGACTTGTCGCGTGGCAATTCTTTTGTGCAATCCGTACAACAAAAAAATTTGTTTTCAATTTTTAATGATAAAACAAATATAAAAGAAACAAGACTGCTCGTATCAGGGCGAAGCGAAGGTTTATGGAGCAGCAGTAATAAAATAAAAAAATTAAATGAAAAAAAAAATAACGAAAATTTTTTTTTCTAAAATTTGAAATTTTTTATGAAAATCATCCCCTCACACGCAATCTAAAGTATAAGAAGATGGATTTCGTTCCTTGTAACAAATCAATTATGGCAAATAAGTTTCGTTCAACCAATTTGGAACGATTTATAAGACGGATTAAATCTCCGCGTACGCGTTAATAGCGCGAATTATATTGCGCGTTAATTGTCCCAAATTGGTCAAAATGGCAATTTTTAAATCCCCATAACTTTACGAAAAAAATCACAGGTGAAACATTTTTTCATATTTAAGCTCAAGACAACAATACCTCTCGAATGATATTAAAAAGTTCCATCAAAAACGGCTAGTTAAAAAGTCAAAATTTGTCTGAAAAAAAACCACACCGAGCACAAATATTCCGTTACTTTCGTATCGAAAGTCGGAACAAAAATTAAGTTTAAAAAACGGAGGTGAAAGAAAGTCCTAAAATGAAAAACGGAGATTTTTCCAGTTGACCAAAGTCGCTATTTTAGAACATTTTTTTATTAGAGTTTGACAACTTCTTTCAAAAATATGCTCTAAGAATGCTACAGCATAGGGACTTTTTCTTATAAGAAAACATGTAAGATAGTGACTTTTCTTACAAGAAAGTTGTAAAATAGGAACTTTTCTTGCGAAAATTTTTTAAAAAAATTTTTTGCATGTTTATATTGTAAAAAATTCTCATAACCAGTTTAAAATTTCTCCATCGACACAAATTAAAATAATGGATTTCGTAGGGCAAACAACTTGTTTCACGACATGAGTTTTTAGACACACCCACTAACTTTATGGAGTTAGTTGTTGCTGATAGCTAAAAACTTAGTCTTTATATATCTGACCCCCACGTGCAAAGCGTCCGCAGCTATATGACATGATTTGTCAAAACTGATTTTTTGTTGTCTCCAAAGTTATTTCTAACCGCTCTAGAACTAATTTTTAAGCTTAGATTTTCATACAAAATTTGGTTATGAGTTTCTGACTTGAAATAAATTCTCTTATAGAGGTTTAAAAGAGAGGGTGGTTAAAAACATCCAAAATTTGGTTTCCGTTTCAATTTGTGTTCTGACTTAAACGACTAAAATCAGCGTCAAAATTGAGCTTAGATAATAATAATTATTACTATGATTATTATGATTATAATTTGTGTTCTGACTTAAGCGACTAAAATCACCGTCAAAATTGAGCTCAGACAAAAGGTTGTTGAAGCACCAAAAAATATAAAAAAACTTTTAATTATTATTCTAAAACATTTTTTATTTCGACTCTGTTCTACTCACAGCTCTACCCTTTATAACAAATCTATCGACTCTGATCAATTCGACAAAAACTCGACTACTTTCAAAGTTTTTGTTCGACTGACTTAATTGTCGGTCAAAAAGTGAACACCAATCGACCATTATGGTCGATTTATGAGTTGCGCACCTCAACCTGGGTAATTGATGGAGCTAAAAAATTTTTTTGAAGCATTAACGATTAACATCGACTCCTATAAACTCGATCTTTCATAAAATAAGAGACATCTACTTTTGTGACAACGAACAAGTGTAAGCTTGTTATGATAAGTTCCATCTTTGTTTTATAAAGTTTTTTGTCATCTTTTTTCTGTAAGGTTTTCTCTAAGCATCTTTCACGCTCCTATCAACCTTGGCAGTGATTTTTGCAATTTTTTGAGGTTTCGTTCATACCTAATATATGTTAACAAGGTAAGTTAATATATTTACTTCATTGAAATGCCGCGCGACAAGCTGACTTGTTTATGGTTTTCCTCTTTAAAAAAGTACAAAAAAGGGATTAAAAGGATCCAAAGTATTTTAAAAATCAGTTTGAACTCAGACTTAAGAGTGAGTTCAGCGCCAATAGTTTAGATAAAAGATCGTTTGAGCGCTGAAGAGCAAAATGAATGATGTTAACTATTACTTTCAAGAATCTGGTTTTCTTAAACATGGCTGGGTGCACAGGGTAAAAAGTCTGAGATGCTAAAATTTGGTCGCGAAAGTCTGGAGATGGGTCGCGAAAGTTTGGACATGGGTCGCGAAAATTTGGTCGCGAAAGTCTGGACATGGGTCGCGAAAAACTTGACATACAAAAATTTGGTCGCGAAAGTCTGGAAATGGGTCGCGAAAGTCTGGACATGGGTCGCGAAAGTCTGGACATACAAAAATTTGGTCGCGAAAGTCTGGACATACAAAAATTCGGTCGCGAAAGTCTGGACATGGGTCGCGAAAGTCCGGACACAGATTTTCGCGACCCATATCCAGACTTTCCCGACCAAATTTTGGCATGTCCGGACTTTCGCGGTCCACGGCGCGACACATGTGCAGACTTTTCAGACTCAAACTCTCGGCGCGACTATACAACTTGATTCTAAATCCGGATGCGGCGCGACCCTGAAAGTCTGGACATTAGTCTGTCACCTCGACCTGGGTAAGATAGATAGGGTTTAAAAAACACTATAAAACCGAGGCGTTTAAAATTAAAATACAAATGTTAGTTGTTTCATACAAAGAAGTTCCTGAACTTTGTTTACTCACTTCTTTATTTGCTGCTTGAATTTGAGTTAATAAAACTAATTTTTAAGCTTAGATTTTCATAGAGGTTTTGGTTTTGAGTTGCTGACTTGAAATAAATTTTCTTATAGAGGTTTAAAACAGAGGGTGGTTGAAAACATCCAAAATTTGGTTTCCGTTTCAATTAGTGTTTCGACTTAAGCGACTAAAATCAGCGTCAAAATTGAGCTTAGATAATAATGATTATTACTATGATTATTATGATTATAATTTGTGTTCTGACTGAAGCGACTAAAATCACCGTCAAAATTGAGTTTAGACAAAAGGTTGTTGAAGCACCGAAGAAATTATAAAATTTTTTTTAATTATTATTCTAAAATATTCTTTATTTCGACTCTGTTCTAATCACAGTTTCATCTTTTATAACAAATCTATCGACTCTGATCAATTCATGATTTGACCCATTTCGACAAAAAATTCGACTATTTTCAAAGTTTTTGTTCGAGTGACTTAATTGTCGGTCGAAAAGTGAACACCAATCGACCATTATGGTCAATTTATGAGTTGCGCACCTCAACCTGGGAAATTGATGGAGCTAGATATTTTTTTTGAACCATTACTGATTAACATTGACTCCTATAAATTCGATCTTTCATAAAAATAAGAGACATCTACTTTTGTGACAACGAACAAGTATAAGCTTGTTATGAGAAATTTCATCTTTATTTTATAAAGTTTTTTGTCATCTTTTTTCTGTAAGATTTTCTGTAAGCATCTTTCACAATCCTATCAACCTTGGCAGTGTTTTTTGCAATTTTTTAAGGTTTCGGTCATACCTAATATAAGTTAACAAGGTAAGTTAACATATTTACTTCATTGAAATGCCGCGCGACAAGCTGACTTGTTTATGGTTTTCCTCTTTAAAAAAGTACAAAAAGTGGGTTAAAGGGATCCAAAGTATTTTAAAAATCAATTTGAACTCAGACTTAAGAGTGAGCTCAGCGCCAATAGTTTAGATAAAAGATCGTTTGAGCACTGAAGAGCAAAATGAAAGATGTTAACTATTACTTTCAAGAATTTGGTTTATTTAAACACGGCTGGGTGCACAGGGTAAAAAGTCTAACTATGGCGTGATACAGCTTAAATTATATATCTTGTGGGTTTGATTTCGCTTGATATTTTTCATGTATGTTATTTTTTTTGGTTATTAAAGAAATCGTACCTGAAATTTTTTCTGATTAAAAAAGGGTAAAATTAAAAAGAGTAAAATTTCTCGAAACTCTAAGCTAACAAAAAAGTGTTTTCTTCAAGTAATTGGCGAGCTTTTATAATATGAAATTAGATAGCAATAAAGGGTTACGTAGCAGTATTTAGACACATCAGTATTTAGACAAATACTGTTTTAACCAATCAGAATCGAGACAAGGAAGAAATCAATAAAAAATTATGATTTATTTTGGATTAATTATGTCTTATCTCGATTTTGATTGGTCATACAGTATTTGTCTGTATGGTTTTCCTCTTTAAAAAGTACAAAAAAGGAGTTGAAGGGATCCAAAGTATTTTAAAAATCAGTTCGAACTCAGACTTAAGTGTGAGTTCAGCGCCAATAGTTTAGATAAAAGATCGTTTGAGCACTGAAGAGCAAAATGAAAGATGTTAACTATTACTTTCAAGAATCTGGTTTATTTAAACATGGCTGGGTGCACAGGATAAAAAGTCTGAGATGCTAAAATTTGGTCGCGAAAGTCTGGACATGGGTCGCGAAAGTTTGGACATGGGTCGCGAAAATTTGGCCGCGAAAGTCTGGACATGGGTCGCGAAAGTCTGGGCATACAAAAATTTGGTCGCCAAAATCTTGACATGGGTCGCGAAAGTCTGTGTCCAGACTTTCGCAATCAAATTTTGGCATGTCCAGATTTTCGCGGACCACGGCGCGACACATGTCCAGACTTTTCAGACTCAAACTCTCGGCGCGACTATTTAACTTGGGTCTAAATCCGGATGCGGCACGACACTGAAAGTGTGGACATGAGTCTGGGACCTGGACCCGGGTCAGATGGATAGGGTTTAAAAAACACTATAAAACCGAGGCGTTTAAAACTATATAACAAATGTTAGTTGTTTCATACGAAGAAGTTCCTGAACTTTGTTTACTCACTTCCTGATTTGCTGCTAAAATATGAGTTAATAAAACTCTGAATAAATCTCAGATTTAATTGGTAAAACGATTTTGTGTATTAGTTTGTAGCAGACTGCTCGCGTTGAGTTGTTATTACCATAAAGTTAAACACGATAACTATGAAAACAACCGCTTCGAAAAAAGAATGACGCGCAAGACTTAAAAGCTTTAAGCGTGTTGTTGCTGTATATGATTCGATCAGCAAGAGTGGCCGAGCAATTACACATACCTTTTGGAATGCGAAAAATGTACTTCTGAGAAAACAGCTCTCTGACAAGTAACGTAATATTTTCAGTTGAACTATGGCGTGTTACAGCTTAAATTATATATCTTGTGGGATTGTTTTCGCTTGACATTTTTCATGTATGTTATTTTTTTTCGGTTATTAAAGAAATCGTATCTGAAAATTTTTTTGATTAAAAAAGGGTAAAATTAAAAAAAGTGAAATTTCTCGAAAATCTGAGCTAACAAAAAAGTGTTTTCTTCAAGTAATTGACGAGCTTTTATGGATGAAATTGGATAGCAATAAAGGGTTACGTAGCAGTATTTAGACACGTCAGTATTTAGACAAATACTGTTTTAATCCATCAGAATCGAGACGAGGAAGAAATCAATAAATAATTATGATTTATTTTGGATTATTTAGGTCTTATCTCGATTCTGATTGGTTCATACAGTATTTGTCTAAATACTCACGAGTCTGAATACGCGGTTGTCTAAATACAGACCGCACTCCGCATTACAGGTATTTCATTTACCCGTTTTTTTTTTCGGCTACAATGAACGAAAAAAATTTACGGCTAACCGACCGCAATGGAGTTCCATGAATAAAAGTCCATTATAATTGAGTTTCCTTGTCAGTGTTCACAAAAGTGAAAACAAATCGATTATAATCGATTGAAAATTGATTATAATACTACTATTTTTCGAGGCAACAAAATCCTTTTTTCATTCATTATAATCGATCTTTTTTTCACTTTTGTGGCACTGTCAATGAAACTAAATTATAATCAGTTTTTTCCCACTTCACTGAGATGCGAAGTATTTTCTACGTTTTAAACTAAAGTTGGATTAAGCTAAAGGGGTGTTCAGTGGGGGAGGGGGTTCTGTGGGGGGGCAGAGGGGAAAACATTAGGGGGATTGAAGATAATCAAATGGGAAAACAGTATGGGGGAAAGCTTAACGGAATCTTTTTGCAATTTGAGTTTAGATTTAGAAATGGATTAGGTCGTACACTTGCTTTGCAAAGTTTCCGCATAACTCACTTAATAAATGCAGAAATTCTTGCGCGAAACAAAAAATAAAGTGGAAAAAAATCCATTATAATAAAGTTTCCTACTTGTTATAAAATTCGTTATAATGGATTCCAAAATAATTATAATGAATTTGTATTGGTGAGAAAAAATCGAATTAAATCCTTTTTTAGTCCAATTTTGTTGTCTAAACGTCACATGGGAATCGATTATATATTCAACAGTTTAGACCACAAAAATCCACTATAATCGATTTGTTTTCTTAAATGCGGGCGGGAGCATTTTTTGCCCAGGCTATCCAATAAATGGCCAAATAACAACACAACACTTAAGAAAGGGAAACACAATAAAATGACTGAAAAAAAATCGAGGATCTGAATAACTATCCCCCCTTTATTCTTAATAGTTAATTTTTCTTTAAGGGGGGTGATATTCGTTACAATGTACCATAGGGGGATAGTTAACAAGATCCAAAATCGGATATGCGGGAACAAAATTTTTTTTGGGCTATCCAGGAACGAATTAATTTTCGACTATCCGAGGTATACATTAATCTTTGGAATTTAAAAATGAAAAAAAAAATTCAACACAGGGTGGGCTATGTAGTATACCTTACAAAACGTTGTTACAGCCATACAAAAAATGTCGATAATAATCATAAACCGAATTAAGCAAAAAGTAGACAAAAAATTATTGGTATGCTAACTTATTCAGCCTGAATTAGCTAATCAGATTTGAGCACAAGCTCAGATTATTGTTCCGACTTTTGTAACGAAAGTAACGGATTATTCGTGCTCGGTGAGGGTATTTTTTTCTGCAGACAAATTTCGACTGTTCAACTAGCAATTTTTGACGGGATTTTTTAAATATCATTCAAAGCGTATTGTTGTCCTGAGCTTAAATTTGAAAACCTATTTCTCCTGTGATCATTTTTCGTTAAGTTATGGGTTTTAAAGATTGCCATTTAGGCCAATTTGCCACAATTAACGTGCGATATAGTTCGCGCTATTAACGGGTAAGCGGAGAGTTGATCCGTCTTAGAAATCGTTCCAATATGGTTGAAAGAAGCTTATTTGCCATAATTTATTTGTTATAAGGAGTGACAACTATCCCTTTGTACTTTATATGGCGTATGGGGGTTGATTTTCATTTGAAAAACTTCAAACTTTAGAAAAAAAACTTCATTTAATTTTATTTCATTTAATTTTTAACGTTATTACTGCTCCATAAACCTTAAATGGCAGTCGGGACATTCAGGGCTTCGCCCTGATACGAGCAGTCTTGTTTCATTTATTATTATTTCTCAATTTTGCAGTTTTACATCGTTTAGTTGTCTTTTTTTTTAAACAAAAACACTAATCCCTCTTAGAAATGGTTCCAAATTGATTCAAGGAAGCTTATATACCACAATTGGTTTGTTAATAGGAGCAAAAGATAACGCTTTGTTTTTAATATGGCGTGGGGGGAGGTTTTTACAAAAACTCAAGTTGAAAAAGATTTTTTTTTTACATTTAATTTTTCATGTTTTTACTGCTCCATAGGCCTTAAAAGCCTATGCTTTGTTCATTAAAACGTTACAATTGCCTATGCTTTGTTCATTATGCTTTACAAAGACTGCTCGTGTATCAGAACGAAGTTCTGGATGTTACGAGTGCACTTTACGGATAAAATTTTTGTTTGTTCGAAAAATTTTGTGCTTTCAGTTGCATAAACGCGCAGCCTTATCATTTGAAGAAATCAAGTGTTGTCTTTCTGACTCCATTCCTGAGCTAACTGTTTGCATTTATGGCCTAATATTAATTTTTTTTCAGGCTCAGGAAGTCTTAAAAAATGCATTTTTTTCAACTAATCCACTTTGGATTTCAAATAGTCTCATCCCAAGTTTTAATTCTGTTTGATGAATTCCCTATTTTACACCGAAATTTTTGTTCATAAGTCTGCCAAGGTTGAGGTATTACTATCGCGCAGATCCCAAATGTTTTTCAAAACTAGTCGAGCATCCGGTTTGCCCAAGAAAATATCTTGATTATGTTCACCCCTCGTTTCAATAAGATTTTCTCCATCCGTAATTGCTGTAACGCGGCTTTTATGAGTTTGGTATTTCGAGCTGTTCCAATTTGTCGTTGTCTTCTTTTTACACTTTGGATGATACTTGTGACCCACTAGTTTTTGTTTGTTTTTGGATGATAAAGAAAAAAGAAAAGACGTTATATCTGATAAAGTGGTATAACAATGGCTAAAGAAATAGGCAGTATGATTATTTTTCTATAAGTTTCACAGACGTCTTTTGTTGCCTTCAGTTAGCACCATGTAGGTTATCTCTGTTTTCAGCGCGTGAATGAGGAAGTACTTCCTAAGCTAATCAAAATACAATTGTTTTTGAGCGACAAATGCATGATTGCGAATTATGAATGGTTTCTCTGGCCTCAATTAGTACACATTATTGGAACACAACTATCAGTGTAAAAGGACCTAATAAGAGGAGTTAATTTGAAACAATTTATGGTCATCAAAAGGGGGTTAAATTGCTGTGGGGTTGTTTTGTTTCGCGTTGTTAGCACAAAAATATCGAGCATTAACTTTTCGCAGTTAGCCAAAGTAAAAATTTTCTTTAAGCTTCAGACAGTAAAATCTTCCGGATCCTCAAAAGCTCCGTCAAAAATTTAATTAAAAAGTCAAAATTTGGTTGAAAAAAAACCACCATCAGCATAAAAATTCAGCACTTCCTTCAAAAGTTGGAACAAAAAATATTTAAAAAAAACTGCAAAGCTAATTCTGGACCACACAAAATTGAACTTGACACCTTACCCTTGATCTCACATTGCTCGAAGCTCGGCCATATACAAAATCGACTAAAGCAAAAAAGAACGCATTATTGATAATCAACAAAGCTCGACCAGTGTTATTGGCTGCAAAAATAATTAACGGAGGGCAGTCTAAAAAAAGAACGGCCCAAGGGCAGAATAAGCCTAACTGTGACAAAAACTCATCACATTTAGCCGCCACTAATCAGTCTTAATTGTGTTCAGTGAATAACTGTGGTTGAGTAACTAACTGAACTTGTTTTAAAGGGCACTGAAGTTGAATTTAAATGCATCAAAAAGCTAGTGAATGGACCGAATGGGCAAAAATGCAAATCAGCCAATCAGATTTCAGTATTCCAAAATTTGGAAACAAATCGTGAATATCTCAAAGAAAGTGAACATTTCCAAGGGCTTAACTTAATATTGACCGAATATAAAAATGGGGGCGTTAGACAGTGCCGAAGTT